TAGTGGGACCACGCCCCTGGATTCAAACACAGGTCTGTATTTCAACAGTTCCTGCGTGTGGTCCCCACTGAGCTAGGCTCTTGAGTCCAATTCTAACGTACCTGAAGCCGATCAAACACAGCAAAAAAGTCACAAGCTTCGATTTGTGGGTCATGTTCACTTCACGTTAGTCGAGCACTCGCTGTAGCGCCGCCGAGCTGTGGGTCATGTTCACTTCACGTTAGTCGAGCACTCGCTGTGGGATCTGGCCCATATTACCGCCGCCGAGCTGTGGGTCATGTTCACTTCACGTTAGTCGAGCACTCGCTGTGGGATCAATAGGGGCTAGACTAAGTGGGATCTGGCCCATATTACCGCCGCCGAGCTGTGGGTCATGTTCACTTCACGTTAGTCGAGCACTCGCTGTAGCGCCACGTGGCACACTCGATTGATACGTGATGCCACGTGGCGCTATGTGGTGCCCCAGTACGTGCTACTTGCCAATGATACCCTCAGCAGTGTCTAGCCCATCAATCACCTCCATTTGCGTCTGTCCATCCTTATTGTATTCTTCCCCATCTCAATGGCGCAGAGGAGGGGGGGGGAGAGGGGGAGGGGGAAGGGGAGGGGGTCAGGACCGGGGGAGGGCGGGGCGGAGGTAGGTCCCCTTTTTTTTTTTTTAACCCTGCTTCTTGCTACTACCTGCTACTTTTTTCAATCTATTTTAAAATTCAATTCTAGTGCGTGATTGGGAACCCTTCTTTTTTTTCTTTTTTCTTTTTTGAACCCTTCTTTTAAGGGTCAATGTGAAATAACTTGTCAGTGAACTTGAGCTTTTTCGTTTGGACGTCCTTTGGGGTTTTTCCCAAAGAACAGAAAGGGGTAGGAATTCAACGTGTCCCCATCGCGGAGGAGAGTAGCAACCCTCCTTGAATTTTCCTCCTGTTTTTTTTTGTTTTTTTTTCTGAAAAAGAAAAAGAGCGCGACGGCCATGAAATCCCTGTTATAATGACAATAAAAAAGGCCGGAAAGGCTGTCCTGTCCAGATTCCACAGGTAATTGAATTGATTGGGCTTAAAAAAAGAATTAGCCTTGAAAAAAAAAAAAAAAAAAAAAAAAGCCTGTCAGATCCGGGTGTTTGGTTCTGTTAGATTGAATTTGGATAGCTATTTAGATTATTAGGCTTTAGGGACGGAAGGGTAAAACAGAAATATAGTAGAGTAGGAGAGAGGGTAGAATAGCAATAGTTCAATTACCTGTCGATCGAATCTGGACACAGACTTTTCGACAGGTAATTGAATTGTACAGGAGCTGAGCTCAATATTGGCCGTGGGCCACTCAGGGGACGTGGTCCCACTAGCAAAGACGATTCGATCGAATGCCTGAATTTGGACGTGTTTGTGGAGAGGTGCAGTGAATTGAGATTGAACTGCTTTTCTGCATCTCTGCATAAATCACATCCAGATTCAGGAGCTTGATTCTATCACCGTTGCTACCGTCTTCCCCCGAACACAACGCACCCTCATTTTGGCTGTATCTGGCCCGAAATATAGCTTGTATACATTCATTTTTAGGGTGACCTCGGCCAGCGTCTTCTTCCCTGTAAGCTAAGCTGCATGATGCTTTTCGTGAATTCCGATCCGGGTTCTGTGTGAGCTTCTCCCCACCCTCATTTCCAATTTTGTAATGAAATGTTGATTTCAGTTATTAAAAAAAAAAAAAAAAAAACACGGTCAGATTGGACAGGTGATTGAATTGGTTGGGCTTAAACGAATTAGACTTTGAAAAAAAAAACCATCAGTGAACTGACCGGTCCTCCCTTGCATTTCGTCACCCAGATATAGACTAAGAAAAAGCGAATTTTCCAAAATAAAAAAAAGAGGCACAGCAGAAGGCAAAAAAGGAAACCAAGTCCCCAAAAAAAGAAAAAAAAAAGAAAAAGAGACAAAAAGGAAGGATGAAAAGGAAATGCAAAATTGAAACACAAAACATTTCAGCTTTTTTTTTAGGCTACAAGCCGGGCGGCCTGGCCGTGCAAGGACCTAAGAAGGTCCCAGCCAAAAAAAAAAAAAAAAAAAAAAAAAAGAACCTGGAAAACCTGAAAAAAAAACTATGTTATGCAGAAAAATAAATTGAACAACTTTTGCCTCGGGGTCACATCGAAATTCTTTACCAAGTTTAAAATAAAAATAAAGTTAAAAACTAGGCTACCAGAATGGCCCAGTCCACTTGCCCGGCCGGGCCAAAAAGAAATTAAAAAATATATATATATCGTCACAAACAGAACTGCCCGGTAAACCGTAGGCAGAGAGAGAGAAGAGGACAACAAACGAGGGGCTGTGGCAAACTGTTTCGTCGGAGTTTCACCGACTCATCAGGAGGCTGAATATATATATCGTCACAAATAGAACTGCCCGGTAAACCGTAGGCAGAGAGAGAGAAGAGGACAACAAACGAGGGGAAACTGTATATATATTAAATTTGGTAAAGAATTTCGATGTGACCCTCAGGCAAAAGTTGTTCAGTTTATTTTTCTGCATAACATAGTTTTTTTTCGGATTTTTGGATTTTTTTTTTTTTGACTGGGGCCTTTCCTGGTCCTTGCACGGCCGGGCCGCCGGGAAAAATACGGTGGTGACCCGGGCGGCCCGGCTGTTACCCTAGGTTAAAAATAATTTATTTATTTCTATTTTTATTTTATTTTGGCCCGGCCGGGCAAGTGGTCCCGGGCCACTCTGGTGGCCTAGCTCTTTTTACATTTTCTTTATTTTTCGCGTTTTTTTTTTGTTTTCTTCCGCTTGCAATCCACATGCGTAAGAAATTGAGAGAAAAAATATATAGCTTAGTTTAAAAAAAAAAAAAAAAAAAGGGAAAAAAAAGAAGAATCGTGGATTCCCCAGTCTATGTCACAATTGTCTCCATCATTCCCGTTTCATATGTGGCGCTGTACCCGGCCCGGTTTCCAGGCAGGTGCAGCTCCCCACCAATAGATGGAGTGTTCATCTCTACTAGAGTACTCCTAGGGGTGGACTGCTTATATCACCCTTCCTAATACAGTAAGCCTTGAACGACGTTTTGGTAAAAAAAAAGAAAGGGAAAAAAAAAAAAAAATGGAATTGAAAAAAACGAATGGCAAGATACGGCTGTCGATTAAGACATCATAACAGAGTGTGCACCTCAACCTGGCTAGACGAACAAGAAGAGGACAAAAGAGAGGAGGAACATGAAACACAGTGAGGAGAAAAGAGAGAGGAAGAGAGAGAAAGAGAGAGAAAGAGAGAGAAAGAGAGAGAAAGAGAGAGAAAGAGAGAGAAAGAGGAGCAAGAAGAGGACAAAGGAGAGGAGGAACATGAAACACAGTGAGGAGAAAAGAGAGAGGAAGAGAGAGAAAGAGAGAGGGGGAGGACAGGGAACGAGTGAGTGAAGACCCCTTCACAGATAGGTTGCTATATAGTCAGATGAGAGAAGAGGAACAAGAGTAATTTGTTCTGATCATCATCATCACAGATAGGGCGCCGAAAATCGTCATATCGTAAGACGTGAGAGAGCAAGAAGATAAGGGGTGAGGAAACAGAACCAGAAAATCGACAAGAAAAATTGGTGCACAAAAGGATTAGGATTGGATTTCTGTATCCGGACGTGTTTGAGGAGAGGGGTACAAAATCGCGATTTTTTTGTTGCCTGAATCTGGACGTGTTTGAGGAGAGGTGCAAAATTTTGCGATGGACCTGCTGCTTATCTGCATCTCTGCGTAGAACACATCCAGATTCAAACGCTTAACCCAATCCTCTTTGCCAGGGGGGAAAATGGGAATAACACGACTCCGCCTTCACTGATGGCAGAAAACGTCAACGATGAGTAAACAGAACCAAAAAATTGACAAGAAAATTTGGGCAGCAACACCCAAAAACATCACGGAAGAAGACGACAGAAAGAAAACAAAAGAGCGATAAAGTGGGGGGGGGGGGGGGGGAAAAAAAAAAAAAAAAAAGGAAACAAGACAACGGGAAGAAGACGACAGAAAGGTCGTGCGAAGATAAGAGAGGCAGAGAGGACTACGGCGATCAGAGAGAGACAGTGGGAGCGAGAGGGGGAGGAGAGAGGAACACACGAAGAGGGGGGAAAGAGAGACAGAGAACAGGTGAAAAGAAAGGTGAAAAGGCAGCGGCACCAGCTTAATCTCATTCGATTATATGTCGAAGGCGAGAACCGCAGGGCAGAAGAGGCGGCGCTGGCAGAGCAGGGAAGCAAAGAAGCGTGAGAAACAGAAAAGATATAGAAGAGGCAGGAGAGGGTAGGGAAGGGAGAAGAGGGAGGAGAGGGAGGAGAGGAAGGAGAGAGGGGCGGAGCACAGGCGGTGCAGATGAGGGGAGAAGCGGGAAGAGTTGAGGGCAGAAGCAGGAGAGGTAGGAGAGCAGAGGCAGAAAAGAGGTGGCAGGGGTGGGGTAGGGAAGGGAGAAGAGGGACGAGAGGGAGAGAGGAAGGAGAGGGAAGAGGGGGAGGGAGGACAGGGAGGAGAGGGGGAGAGGGAGGAGGGGGGGGCGGAACACAGGCCGAACAGATGAGGGGAGAAGCGGGAAGAGAGTTGAGCGCAGAGGCGGAAGGAAAAGAGCAGCGGAAACGCGGGGGCGGGGGGGGCGAGGAGGGAGTTGAGGAAAACGGCACTCCTCTGGAGGCGGGGGGAGAATAAACAGGAAGACGAGGAGGGGGGAACGAAGCGCAAGAGGCGGACAAGAGACGTGGAAGAGAAATACTGACAAGGGACGGGAGACGGACGAAGAAAAAAAGAAAGAGGAGGAGGAACTTGAGGTGCGAAAGACAAAAAGGAACCTAAGGAACGGCGAGAGGACAGCAAAGGGAGAGAAAACGCAGAAAAAAGAGAGAGAGAGAGAGAGAGAGAGAGAGAGAGAGAGAGAGAGAGAGAGAGAGAGAGCAAGAAGAACGATCGGCACTACCAAGGTAATAAGAAAAAAGAAAAAAAGAGAAAAAAAAAAGGAAGGAGGGCAGGATCGAAAACACACCTGCGCGCTGTATACGTTGTCGTCATCTGCCAGATAGACGATCCCTTTCAACTTGGTGTCCTCGATGTACTGCAATGCCCTGTTTCGTTGATTCACGCCGCGCGCGACGCTGACATCCCTATCAGACCTATCCGTTACTAAATGTACGTAATTCAGGCGGGGGATATTATAAAAAGGGCGACCGGCCGCTCTCTCAAGAGCTGTCGTCGTCTCCACAGTCTTTTGCTGGTTCTCGACTACAATCCACACAACAGGGGGAGGAACTAATCTCAAAACGGTACCTAGTTGAGTCATATACGCCGTCTGAAATGGTCTAGGGTAAGTCGCAGTAACCACGATGATAGTCTTTAACCCTCCACCTTCCGCCTTTTCCTCTTTAGGAAACACGCCTACTGGTGACACATTAGCCTGGCCATCGGAATCAGAAAGAGTCGTCTCGGATTGCCCTTCATTACTCTGCCCATCAATGAACTTGCGCGCACCGATCAGCAAAGGGATTACAGTAGAGAAGATCACGATCAAACACAAGACGAAGAGTACATTCATCGGCTTCAGCCATCCCGACGATTTCCCCCCTGTCAACATTCCATTCCCCGCTGATCCTGACATGTCCTTTCCCTTCTTCATCACGCCGTTTGCTCTAAGCACCTGCTCCATAGCTCGCGCCATTTTTACTCATTGACCGCTGACCTCTCTCTCTCTCTCTCTCTCTCTCTCTCTCTCTCTCTCTCTCTC